AGCCGTATATTCATATGGGGAGCCAGGGTTTGGTAGCTGTGGTCTGGCTGTCTCGACCCTATTGCTTATGAGCTGTAAGCGAGCTGCCGTTCCCTCCAGTTTCAGTGGCCAGTCATCCACTGTCTTATAGACATCGACTTCGAAGGTCTGGACAGAGCCATGAATGCCGACATCGATGCTCACCACACGTCTGGTCGGCTTAGACACCAGTATAGTGTCGAGACTGCGCGAGCACCAGAAGCGGCAGAAACTACCGGTGCTGTCGTAGCTGACAATCGTTTTCGCCGCCAGCCGTGTGTCACCGAACACTTCCGGCCACTCGACCGCCATTTTGGTGATTATGCGGTACGAGTAGTCTCTGATCTGCTCATTGGTGTAAACTTGAGGGCTGGCTATGGTAAGGGTGTCGGACACGTGTTTGATGTGAGCCTTGTATTGGTAGTGTCGAGTGCCAGTCATCTCCTCAAACGCACGGCTATTGCCTACTGACTGCTTGTGAGTAGCCGTTCCCTCGCATGAAAAGTCTTGAACAGACGGGAAGTCGTAAACGGCTTTATAGACATCGACTTCGAAGGTCTGGACACCACTGCCGTCGCACAGACTTATGCTCACCACACGACTGGTCGGCGTAGACACCTGTATGTTGTCCAGAGGTCGGCTGCACCAGAAGCTGCCGGTGCTGTCGACGGGGACAATAGTCTTCAAGGCGTCACCAAACACTTCCGGCCACTCGGCGCCCATTTTGCGGATTATGTAATACGTGTTGCTTTTAATCATCGCTTCGGTGAGCAAGTCGTTCACATTGGGAGCGCCGGCGCTCGGAACGGCTGTCCCATCGGTTGGCAAGTGTTTAATGTGAGCCCTGTATTTGTGGTATTGAGTGTCGGCGGCTCGCGGTAGTTGGGCACTGACCGGAACGGGAGGGGTTTGGACCAATGGGGACGACATGTCTGCTATTTTGGGACAAAATTATGTGATTTTTAATCTAATTAATTTAAATAATAGTTACAACGAGTGAGCTATGAGTGTGTATATGTGTGATAGTGAATCAGCAATATGTGTGTGAGTGAGTGAGTGAGTGAGTGAGTGAGAGAGAGAGAGACTGCAAACCTGAGCGTAAGCCGAATGGATTGGTTTTACCGGCGGTTGGATACCAGTACTTCAATTGCACTTCAAACGACTGCTCAGTAGACAGGGGTATCAGCGATATACTGACATAACGCGTGGCAACATCAATGGGCAACCATTGTTTGCATAGCATGTACTCGTAGCCTTCGTATAAGTAAAACACTTTGCGATCTCCCGGTGCGAACACGTCCGACCACTCGGTGATCATTCGCTCGAATATCAACCTCTTTTCTGTGGCACTCAGTGTCAGCGCATTGTCCCCATCATCGGTGGGCACGTGTTTGACCACCACCTCGTAGTAGTGATACTGAAGGCCTACCCCTCCGTATGTCTGAACGCCATTCCCCTCATTAGTCGCACCGTTAGTCTTCGCCTCTATTTGAAGTAAAAACACAATTAAATCAATAATAAGTAAATCGTATGCAAACTCTCACCTAAAGGCTCCGACAGTTGGAAGCCTATACTTTGATCCACTGGCACTGGCATAGGGTTAGGCGGGCTGTCAGCGCCTGTAGTTTTGTGGGGACAGTATCGCAGCCGCACCACAAACATCTCGTTCAAGCGCTTAGCATCCGAACGCCATTTCCTCCAACGCTGACCAGTCATCTCAATCTTAACCGTCCGGATGACCACCGGTTGGCCGCTTGAGATGATGGTCGACCGGCCCTCGGATCCAAAGTCCAGAAATTGATTGCACGACATATACCTCGAGCCCTCGTATTTGTATCGAACTACAGGCGCCATAGTATAGAACACTTCCGGCCATTGCCTGACCATTAGGGCCACAATTGACATCTTCTCGGCGTCCAGAAGTGTCAGTCGTGTGTAGCCACCGATGAACAGCTGCTGCACAACCACTTCATAGTAGTACTCGTAGTTGTGCTCCGAGCTAACTGTCCCCTCATTCTGTCTCTGACTTCTAAGACTTGCGCGGCTAATGGACAGGCGTTTCATTGGTAGCGCTAACGGGCGGTTAATATTTTGAGCTAACAATTGGTAAACAAATTAGAACTTTTATTATTAAAAAACAACTGTCCATTTAATGTACACCATACCTGACTTCGCAGCTACCATTCCCATCTCATCGCCATTTCCATCACTACAAGCGTTGAAAGTCTCGGCTACTGTTCCCATAAACAAAACACACAATTAGATGAATGGTAAACAAATTGCATACAAAACACACACAAACCCTCACCTGAATACTGATCCTTAACCACATGCAAGCGGTGGGACAGGCTGTCAGCGCCAGGAGTCTGTGAACAGTACCTCAAAGACACCACAAACACCTCTTCATCCCATAAGGTCTCTGTGCGCCAACTCTCCCACCGCTTACCACTCATCCTAACCCTCACCGTACGGGTGACCTCTGGCTGAGGGCCGGTAGTGGTAGAGCGGCCATCGGCGCTGATGTCCAGCCACTGATAGCACGACATATACTTCAAGCCGTAGTAATTGTATTGAACTTTGGGTTCTTTGGCGAACACTTCCGGCCACTCGTCGACCATTCGCTCGACAATTATCATCTTCTCGTCGTCTCTGAGTGCCAGAGGTTTGTGGCCATCAATGGACAGGTGCTCGACGTCCACCTCGTAGTAGTGCTCGTAGTTGTCCGCAGAGCTAACTGTCCGCATGTGCTGTTCCTCGTGAGTGGGACCGATGGACAGGCGTTTCATTGGCGGCACTAATGGGCAGTCAATGTCGTAAGCTATCAATTGATGGTTAAGTAAAAGCTTTTAATATTAATAAAATAAAGTCCTTTTGGTGTTCATAGCATACAATCTGTTCCCAAACGCGACTTCTTCGCCTGAATGCGCTGCCAATCGTACGGATTATCTGCTTCGGGGGTCGGGCACCAGTAGGTCAGCCGAACTTCGTATGTCGTTCCCTTTAACAGCGCCTTTGACTTTACGCTATCACCGACTGCCAGTCCCTTACGCTTACCGCCCATACAGACCCTCCTAACCGCCGATTGCCATATGATATCACTGGCCATCACTGCTGATGAGGTCGAGGCTTGCGGTTCCTGTGGACCAGTAGTTCCGAAGCCATTGTTCACGATATCCAGCAACTCGTGTGAACACAAGTACTGTCCGCCCGTATACTCGAAGAATACTAATCGCGTGTGTCTTCGGAACACTTGCGGCCACTCTCTGGCCATCCGGAAGACAATTGTCTGCTTCTCTCTGGGCGTCAATGGCTGCCACTCGTGTGCATCGGATCCACCAATTGGTCCCTTGCGTGACGACGTCTGAGAGGTGTTGCCATCAGTACTGGCGCTGTCATCCAGTTCCCCACCAATGGGTCCCTCGCGTGAGCTGTAGCTACCAGTGGACAGGCGTTTCATACGCGTGGCTAACCTGTGGTCAACGTCTTCGGCGGCTATCAATTGGTGATAATAGACGTGGTTTTTAGTGATCAACACAACTGATCTCATGTCTTAAGGGCTTACCATTTGATCGCAAAGTGATGTCCACTTCGTAGTAGTACTTGCGGTGACCTCCCGGTGCTCTCACCTTCAGGTCAGAGAACGTCTTCGTGAGGGCTTTGATGTTGCGGTCGATGTGTTCATCAATGGCGGGACCCGTTGTGTCTGGTTCTGGAGCTACCGGTGCGGTCGCGCCACCAACCGCTTCCTGCGGTGACTGGCCACCATTGCTGGCCATCGTGTCTAATGTCTGTCAGTTATGTCTTAAGAGCTGATCCGCGGTAATGGTTAACACAAATCCAACGCTTACTTCGCATTCATTTCGTATGTCTTTCTGTATGTAAACAATAAAACTGTCCACAAATGACGTACGAGTGCTAAGGGGAGGGTATTTGGGCTTAATTATATAATTTAATTAGAATAACCATGGTCAATAGTCGTAGATAAATTCATGTGCTGTGTATAAATAATTAAATTTTAAAATTTATTATGCCTATTAACTTAATCATGTTACAAGTTTTAATTTATAACCTTGTTCAATTTATTGCATATTATGACACGTTATTTATGAACAGTTTTTTGTTTTTTCTTTCAAAAAGTTTTTTGTGGCAAAAAATACTCATAAAAATCATCACTCAATGGATCAGCTCTTAAGACAACGACTGGTACGGGAGGGACGCGGAGTACAGCACCGGTAGCTCAGGGAACACTCGGCCGGACAGTCGACCACTTGGGGTATGTCTTAAAACCACTTCCATGTCTTACAACAAACCTCTGAAGTCTTGTATTCATATCGCCAGACAGTCAGCCGTATTCACGAGACAATCGATGGACAGGAGCTGTTTGAATGCTGTGTCGAGTACTTGTGTACGACTTCTGTGGAACCTCTGGAACCGACACGTCTGGAGGTAATCATTGGTCTTGTTTTGAGTGTTTTTTTAGTAGCGATTAATTGTTTTATTGTTATTTCAGTTACTTTTTGAGACAATAAACCGTTTAATGAGTCGACTGACCAGCAAATGGTGGTTCAACTCGATCTCAAGTCTTGACACTTAATTGAGTTCATACGGCAGGGGCTGTCGGTGCCTGAGCTCAAGGTCATTGAGTTAATTGTTATGATTTTTGTTTATTTATATAATTTTGACATTATTTATAAAATTAGTTTTATATAAATACCACAAACATTACCATAATTTCTATTAAAATACATACCATAGTAATTACGGTAATACACCATGTGTACAGTGATAAATATTTATTACCGGTATAAAATTAATATAATTAAAATATACAACTGTTTGTTTACCAGTATAATTACCAATATAAATTTAAACAATTACGGTACTTATAATAATTAAATTTAAGTTAAAGCTACAATTTAACCGTGAATTCAAATTCCTTGCTATAATTTAAATGAGTGTTTGGTTTTTCATATAACTTTGGATTAATCCCAGTTTTACTGTAAATATCTAAATCTGATTTTAATTTATTATCAATATTTCCATGCTTATTTCTAGTTGAACAATCAGGGTTAAACACCAGCTCCAGTAAATATGTGGCAAACGTCTCGATAGTCATCATAAATATATAGGTGACCGCACAGGTAGTTATTAAATCAAAAAATACTTTTTTCCACTTAAAAAATATATTATAAATAAATTAATTGAAATAAAATTACTAAATAGTAATAATTATAGCATACAAAATAATTGAGCGTAAAGTAATCCGGGTGCGTTCTCGACCGTATATCCAGCATGAATATTCTGAACTGGAACATGTATATACCCAGGGCAAATTTGGCAAACACTCGTATCCAGCGTAAATTAATTACACTATTTATAAACGCTGTATAAATAAATAAATTAATTAAAAATTAATGTAAGGTGCGAGTTTAATTCATTTAATAATTAGCGTGGTCATAATCATACCTGACCGACCATTGGCTGTAATATAGAATAGCCAACAGATACCGGCGCTCCATATGACTCGACCGACGCTATTATACAATAGTATCGCAAAATAGGTGTCAAACCCATTTAACACTTGTTTTAATATCCATTCATTCCATGCGATTGTGACAAATGGCAAAAAGCATATACAGGTGTTCACTAATATATTACGCCAATTGGTGTTTAATAAGATGTTCGGGTACACTTTTGCCAAGTACCCGGCTAATATGCCCACCGGGAATGATGCGAAATATATCTCGGTTCTATACGTTTGATGTAATGGTAGCGCGTTAAACATATCGTCAACCCCTTGAAAGTTACCAGGGTTATTTAATAAGGCGACATATTTGTGGTATGGTGTGTAACCTTGTATAGTGTACGGCCAGATACACGCGAAACAACCCAGTACAATTAATAATACGTTCAATATTACGCCAAACTTAGGTTTCTTATGCAAACTGTAAATTAATACCGGTGCTAATATGGATAGGTGTATATAAACGCACAGGTAGTAAGCGTATGGAGCGCACTAAACACGTGTATAATTTTAAGATGAATTTTTTATATAGGGGCAAAATTATGCAGGGATATTCTGGATAGTGAACATACCATGTTAAGAATATTCCTATTAAATAGCATATAGTTTTGAGTGTGAAGAATATAATTGTCGAAAAAGTTGTCACAGTTTTGAATGTAATTCATTTGACCGAAGCGTTTCCAATGAGGTCCCTGTCCTATGGTGTCCAATATGTGCACTATTATCAGGTGTCCGATCATTACCAGGGTAGTTTTGAGGTATATTTTTAATACGTGTGTTATGTAATTAAATTTGCTACTATCCCGGTTTAGTTTGTTTAGTATGGAGTAGGAGGTGAGGAAACCACTGTTAATAAATTAAAAATTAAATTAATTATCTAGTAAGCAAAAATGAATATTAATTAGCCGGGTGAATCCAAGGTTTAAGTACAGTAAATACATGTATTATAATAAGTTCATATTGTCATAAAACTTTAAATAATACTAATTACAGTTTATAAATTTTAGTATTGAGCATGTGGGCTACGAAACCACATAATGGATATATAAATATATTTAATATTTAAACAAATTATAAAATCTAAAATAATATTTCAAATTAACTTAAATTTATCAATAATTTTACTTTATATTGTATGTACTGTATATGCATAAATAAAACTAGTATTTTGGGAGTTAAATCATTTTCAATGGAAAGAATATTTGAAAATCTTATTTATAAAATAATGTATTTTAAGATACTTGTATTAAAAATTATTAGTTACAAATAGATTAAAAATTTTAAAAATTAATATATATGATTAAATATGTAATATATAATTTATAAATACAAGTATTTCATATGCTTTCTATTCATAATAAGTAAATATTTACTATTAAAAAATGCATACGTTATAACGGTGAACATCTCGACCATATAACCCTGGTGCAAGTAGAAATACAGGGAATTCCTCCACATGTCGTTCAGAAAGGGTAACAGTCCTTTCAAATTATATATATCGATGACTTGTAGGTTAAAACAGTGAAACACAAACACCCAGACAGTGGCCACGACTCTCACAAATTCAACCGATGCAAAGGGTTTTGGTGGGGCGTTCACTAACGTACGTGTGTTTGTTATCAGGGAGAATTTTGTTACTAATCTTAATGGGGTTATAATTGGCTGGTTATGGAAATTATAATATAATTCAATAGCTGTTGATATTAATACCAGGGTCAATATGATTGCAAAGAATATTCTGTGTAATGTGAAAAATAAAATAATTATTTTAATAATTGGGTTATAATTGGCTGGTTGTGGCAATTATAATATAATTCAATAGCTGTTGATATTAATACCAGGGTCAATATGATTGCAAAGAATATTCTGTGTAATGTGAAAAATAAAATAATTATTTTAATATGCAACTTAAATTATAAAATAATAGCATAGAATATTTTGTTAGAGTAACCAGCACACTAATTGTAATAATAACTACAGTTATAATAATTATTTTAGATTTATACAAATTAAAAATATAATAATAACAAGCAAGAAATTTTTATTATCAGTGTCTAATAGCCATGTTTACTTAAAATGATCGAGCTCACTCACATGGAAAATAGTTGACTCCAACGGTATGTTTTAGTCTCGTATTTAGTGGTGCACTCGAGTTCACTCATCTCAATGGGAAACCTGGTTAATGGGAACTGGACTACAAACACATAACATATGAAAACTAATTACAAACAATTCACATTAGCTAGCACATTAATCACAAACTTTCATTGATGATATTTTGCATCTCGATGGCCATACACGTGGATGGTATACAAATGCCCATACGATGGGTCACGCCATTAAACACCCGGATATAATCGTTGACAATATCTTTCATCCCGTATATATTGGCCTCAAAATCATTATTCCAGTCAAAGGTATACGATTTGAATTCACGGGTTTCCCGGCTATCATAAGGTATTATGACTTTTATGAAGCAATATTTCCCCTCAAATGCCTGTCCAAGGGTTTCCGGTGGGGACTTGACTTTAAGACATTGATCATAATTGCCGTATGTACTAAAACTGCCCTGGCTCATGCCCGATGGTAATATTGATGTAATAAATGAGTCCAGATCTGTTATGTAAATGTTTTGGTCAAAAATAGTATAGTGAATTTAGTAATATTTTAATGTGGTATTCATTTATTTTTGTATGTGTTTACTAATATTTGAAGTTAACAAAAATATGTGCTAATAATAGTTTTAAAAATAGTAGGTAATATCATAGATAAATAATTATAGTAATGTAAAATAAATGTGTACTTATAGTAAAATGTACAAAAAATTAAAGCAAAAATTAATAGTAATAATTATTTTATTTAAATTCTGTTATTAAATATTAGCAATAAATACTGTAATAAATTATTTTAAAAAATAAATGATATCTAAAATACTGGAAATTTATTGTTATTGGGTTATTTGAGCTGTGGAAAGTTAGACTATATTTTTATCAACCTAGATAACAAGTTATATACTATAGTATACTCACATTCGTAAGTCCAGTATTCATGATTCTGTATACTATTTTGCAGCATATTAATTGATGATAAGCAAGATGGCGATATTTTCACCGTATACATCACATCCATGACCCGTATGGCCAAAGGCTTTTGCATTTTATTAGCAAAATCACCAAGCATCTTGTCCAAACGTACCACCCGTGCGATTGTCTCGTTAAAACTGTTCACAATATGGGAACGGCTTATGTTTTGGTCGTTAATATCCTCGGGTGTCATATCAGTTAGAAACTGGTCGACTGAACACCCGGTGCTCTCATCGCTATCACCAGAAGCACCGGACGATTCATAGTCTGTATCATTAGTCTCGTAATCCAAGCCATGAGCCCTTAATATAATATAAATTAATAAAACTACTTTAAAAAGTTGTAACATTTTGTTGAAATAATTTTGCTTAACATTGACGCCGCAAACTAGTCGCAAGTTTTATGATAAATAACTTGAAAAACTTTTTATTATTTTGTGAATTAATATTATTTTAATTAAATTCAAACACTGATTATAAGAATTGATATTTAAATTATTGGTATGAAAGGTTTGAAATCAAGTTTTCACAAAAAAAGTTTTTAACTCTAATAACGAAAAACTAAACAACATTTTGAGAAATACGCAAATTTCACGCAATTCATAGAAAGTGATTATTTTTTGTTACTTGTGTTTTGCATTTGAAAACCAATCGCGTAATTATATTCATGATTTGAGCGTTTATTGTGTGTATGCCGTATAAATCATATGTTGAAAAATATATTTTTCAATTTATTTAATATTCATTAAGTTATTGAATTATTGAAGCCTTATTTTATATACTTAAATAAGTTTAAGGCCATAAAATACCAAGGTTTCATAGTAATATAATTGTAATGCTATTTTAAGTATAGCCTATTATATACTTATGATGTATTAATTATAGTATTGACAATAAAATCATTTAAGACTTTTGTAATTGTTTTTAAATCTAGTGATTGTATATTGGAGTTAAATAGGAAATTTTAATTAAATGAAATTATAGCCAGGCACTAAATAGATAGTGCAAACCAACTGACTAGCATAAAAATTTACTTTAACTATAACATGATCAAGGTTGCTTAATATATGTAGGCTACAGTACTAATAAATTTGAATTTGTTTATAATTCATTGGAATTTCACACAAATGTAATGATAGTTAATTTAATTTCATAATAATTTTATTCACCACAAAATTAAAATAAAAATCAACCATTTCGTAATTATTATTTTTGAAATGCAATTTATGCATAAGCATAATATAAATATATTAATAAATTTCTATTGAACAATTATTATTTATTGAGTTTTATTTCAGAATTATTATTAATTAAATTATGATTTAAACTTAAAAATTAAATAAATTTTGAATTATGAGTAAATTGACCTAGTATTGAGATAAATAGATATTGTATATGAAATCCTAAATAATTAATATAAAGTAATTGTGCTAAACATCTGCTAAACTACCAGTCCTATGAACAGTAAATGTTATAAATTATAACTTATAATTAAATATCATAAAATAAATTATATAAGATCTCCATGTTATATATTTTGAATTAACTTGTACTGTATACTGTACTAATATAAATGTGAGACAAAAATGTATACAAAATAACATAACCCCAAAAAAACAAAAAACCATAAATACATACATAAGTAAAACCATTAAATGAAAGCATAGGCTATATTATAGCCGCTATAAAATGTGAAATATTTTCACAATACTATTGATGTCTGGAGTCGTAAAAATATTTATGTATATTTTAAAAAGTATTTTCAGTTAATGTTAAGAGTTATGTAAACTTTTTTTGTGGATTCAAATATTTATGCAGACTTTGATAGCAAGTGTGTTATGAACTGATATACAGTACTTATAATGTTTAGTCTTTTACATATGTTTTGAATTAAATAATATATATATTTATATATTTGATTTTTGTATACTTGTAATATTGGATTATTGTTGATCTACAACATTTTTGTCGTTAACAGTAAGTAGTTAGCTGTAAAAACTATTAAAATAATATGTCCATTTGTTAAAAGCATATTTATGATCAGACAAAATTCTTGTTCAAAAAATATTTTTGTAAACAAATCAATAAATCTCTACAAAAAACAATTACACATAAACTGAGTTTAAACTACCTTTCAGTTAGCATTTGTTGTTCACAAAAATTGTTTTTCCATTTAAAAGGATTAAGCGCTCAGAATATAAGTAACACCCACTTTGTTGAGACAAATAAATAAGCAAGCATGTGAAAACATCTGCACTTATATTTTATATAATGACCATTTCTTTGAAACTACCTCAAGGGTCTTTCATATGAAATCATTACTAATGTTTTGTTCATATTCTTTGAAATTATACAATCAGTTAACACTTCTCTATTCTTAGATCTATCTCTCTCTGTCTGTCTGTCTGCCTGTCTGTCTCTCTCTCTCTCTCTCTCTCTCTCTCTCACTCCCTCATCTCTCTCTCTCTCTCTCTCTCTCTCTCTCTCTCTTACACACACACATCATAACAAAATGAAAAGTTTAAATGATTTACACTTAAAATAACTATAATTCATATTTTAGTAATTTATTTATATGATATTTTTTAAATGAGTTTTTACTCTAAACATTCAAATAGTTTGTTTGAAAACACATTATATGCTATTCTACATAAATTTGAAACTCTATTTGAAAATAGAAAAATTTTTCACTTAAAGTATTTACTTGTTTAATTAATGATTAAATAATTTTGTTATTTTATACAAGTTTGATAGAAATTTTTATCAAACTTAATACAGTATTTGTATATAATTATTTAAATATTTGATACAATGCTATACTGTACATGTCGTAAACAAGGAAATGAATTAAAATATAAATTCTTGCAAATTCTGTACATTTTTCTTGACTTTAAAGAGAGAGAGAGAGAGAGAGAGAGAGAGAGAGAGAGACCCATAAATCATAAAGATATTCAATTAATCCACAAATAGTTACATAACATTATGCTATCAAATAACCAGTCGACCACCACCACAAACACCACCAGTTTCCCCACCGACCACCAAAATAACACAGTATACCAATGCTAAACCCTATGGACAGGCATTACGTACGTATGTGTGAGTGAATGCCCTGACAGACAGACTCAGTGATAGAGAGTTGTAAATGCAATCCGAGTTTCACATGCAATCAAAGCCTAACCACTTATACACTAAACTAGTGGCGAATATCTCTCTCAACGAGTTTATTGTAATAACACTTTTACGCAACGGCTGTAGACTATGTGGTGGTAGTTGTATAGCCAGCACCAGTGTTCTCAGACATCATTATATCATAGCCAAGGACAGACATACAGTGGGAAAGTTGTGTAATTCATGTGTATATTCCAATTGTATAATATGTTTTGGAATGGTAGACAGAATTTAGTGCTAAATATTTGCATTTGTGTATCTCATTGAGAAAAGTTTATTGATTACCAGGAACAACTACATTTGATGACAACCACTGATTGCTAATAACAGGTAATTAATGAATTCATTGTGTTTTATGTTTGTTAAAAAATGTGCGATTTTGTGAAAATGATCATTAATTATGACTTTTGCGAGTGATATAAATAGAAAAATTTTCTTATGTGTACTCCTCTCTATCTATCTATCTATCTATCTATCTATCTATCTATCTATCTATCTATATAATATAATATAATATAATATAAATAAAGTAACTAAATTGTTTTATTGATCATACAGATACTAAACAATGGACGACAACATAGTATTGGATAACCCTGATTCTATTCATTCACTGAAAATATTGGACAATGATAATTATCAACCATATATTGACTATAAGGAGGGTATCTGTTCCACTCGTTACCACTGGGAAAAAGAGGCCCTGGTCACTATTAAACAATTTGATCAAGTAAACATTTCGCTAATTTTAATAATTAATTTTTATATTATATTATAATATTCACAGAATATTCGTGAAAACCACAGAATATATCAGAATATTCTGTCCATAGATTTATGCGAATTAAGCGTTTCATTTGATTTAATGAAAACAATACACAAATTCTGTTCAAACGTTGAATGCTTGCACTTAATTGGTGCCAAACTGGACAGTGAGGCCTGGGATGTGCTTATCCAACATATATCCAGGAAACTTCAACACTTGTAATGGGGTTATAATTGGCTGGTTATGGAAATTATAATATAATTCAATAGCTGTTGATATTAATACCAGGGTCAATATGATTGCAAAGAATATTCTGTGTAATGTGAAAAATAAAATAATTATTTTAATGTGCAACTTAAATTATAAAATAATAGCATAGAATATTTTGTAAGAGTAACTAGCACACTAATTGTAATAATAACTATAGTTATAATAATTAATTTAGATTTTATACAAATTAAAAATATAATAATAACAAGTAAGAAATTTTTATTATCATTGTCTAATAGCCAAGTTTAATTAAAATGACCGAGCTCACTCACATGGAAAATAGTTGACTCCAACGGTATGTTTTAGTCTCGTATTTAGTGGTGCACTCGAGTTCACTCATCTCAATGGGAAACCTGGTTAATGGGAACTGGACTACAAACACATAGCATATGAAAACTAATTACAAACAATTCACATTAACTAGCACATTAATCACAAACTTTCATTGATGATATTTTGCATCTCGATGGCCGTGCACGTGGACGGCATACAGATGCCCATACGATGGGTCACGCCATTAAACACCCGGATATAATCGTTGACAATATCTTTCATCCCGTATATATTGGCCTCAAAATCATTATTCCAGTCAAATGTATACGATTTGAATTCACGGGTTTCCCGGCTATCATAAGGTATAATGACTTTTATGAAGCAATATTTTCCCTCAAATGCCTGTCCGAGGGTTTCCGGTGGGGACTTGACTTTAAGACATTGATCATAATTGCCGTATGTACTAAAACTGCCCTGGCTCATGCCCGATGGTAATATTGATGTAATAAATGAGTCCAGGTCTGTTATGTAAATGTTTTGGTCAAAAATAATATAGTGAATTTAGTAATATTTTAATGTGGTATTCATTTATTTTTTGTATGTGTTTACTAATATTTGAAGTTAACAAAAATATGCGCTAATAATAGTTTTAAAATAGTAGGTAATATGATAGATAAATAATTATAGTAATGTAAAATAAATGTGTACTTATAGTAAAATGTACAATAAATTAAAGCAAAAATTAATAGTAATAATTATTTTATTTATTAAATTCTGTTATTAAATATTAGCAATAAATACTGTAATAAATTATTTTTAAAAATAAATGATATCTAAAATACTGGAAATTTATTGTTATTGGGCTATTGGAGCTGTGGAAAGTTAGACTATATTTTTATCAACCTAGATAACAAGTTATATACTCTACTGTATACTCACATTCGTAAGTCCAGTATTCATGATTCTGTATACTATTTTGCAGCATATTAATTGATGATAAGCAAGGTGGCGATATTTTCACCGTATACATCACATCCATGACCCGAATGGCCAAGGGCTTTTGCATTTTATTAGCAAAATCACCAAGCATCTTGTCCAAACGTACCACCCGTGCGATTGTCTCGTTAAAACTGTTCACAATATGGGAACGGCTTATGTTTTGGTCGTTAATATCCTCAGGTGTCATATCAGTTAAAAACTGGTCGACTGAACACCCGGTGCTCTCATCGCTATCATCGGAAGCACCGGAAGATTCATAGTCTGTCTCATTAGTCTCGTAATCCAAGCCATGAGCCCTTAATATAATATTAATTAATAAAACTATTTTAAAAAGTTGTAACATTTTGTTCAAATAATTTTGCTTAACATTGACGCCGCAAACTAGTCGCAAGTTTTATGATAAATAACTTGAAAAACTTTTTATTATTTTGTGAGATAATATTATTTTAATTAAATTCAAACACTGATCATAAGAATTGATATTTAAATTATTGGTATAAAAGGTTTGAAATCAAGTTTTCACAAAAAAAGTTTTTAACTTTAATAACGAAAAACTAAACAACATTTTGAGAAATACGCAAATTTCACGCAATTCATAGAAAGTGATTATTTTTTGTTACTTGTGTTTTGCATTTGAAAACCAATCGCGTAATTATATTCATGATTTTAGTGCTTATTATATATATATATGCCGTATAAATCATACGTTGAAAAATATATTTTGTCAATTTATTTTATATTCATTAAGTTTTTGAATTATTGAAGCTTTATTTTATATACTTAAATAAGTTTTAAGGCCATAAAATACCAAGGTTTCATATTAATATTATCGTAATGCTATTTTAAGTATAGCCTATTATATACTTATGATGTATTAATTATAGTATTGACAATAAAATCATTTAAGACTTTTGCAATTGTTTTTAAATGAAGTGATTGTATGATTCATTTTAATTAAATGAAATTATAGCCAGGCACTAAATAGATAGTACAAGCCAACTGACTAACATAAAAATTTACTTTAACTATAACATGATCAAGGTTGCTTAATATATGTAGGCTGCAGTACTAATAAATTTGAATTTGTTTATAATTCATTGGAATTTCACACAAATGTAATGATAGTTAATTTAATTTCATAATAATTTTATTCACCACAAAATTAAAATAAAAATCAACCCATTTCGTAATTATTACTTTTTAAATGCATAAGCATAATATAAATATATTAATAAATTTCTATTGAACAATTACCATTTATTGAGTTTTATGTCAAAATTATTATTAATTAAATTATGATTTAAACTTACTAATTAAATAAATTCTGAATTACTCTGTATGAGTAAATTGACCTAGTATTGAGATAAATAGATATTGTATAAAAAAATCCTGAATAATTTATATAAAGTAATTATGTTAAACATCTACTAAACTATCAGTCCTATTAACAGTAAATGTTATAAATTATAACTTATAATTTATTACCAGGGTGACTCTCATAAAATAAGTTATATAAGATCTCCATGTTATATATTTTGAATTAACTTATACTGTATACTAATGTAAATGTGAGACAAAAACGTATACAAAATAACATAACCCCAAAAACAAAAAACCACAAATACATACATAAGTAAAACCATTAAATGAGAGCATAGGCTATAAAATGTGAAATATTTTCACAATACTATTCATGTCTGGAGTCGTAAAAATATTTATGTATATTTTAAAAAGTATTTTCAGTTAATGTTAAGAGTTATGTAAACTTTTTTGTGGATTAAAATATTTATGCAGACTTTGATAGAAAGTGTGTTATGAACTGATATACAGTACTTATAATGTCTAGTCTTTTAGATATGTTTTGAATTAAATAAATATATATTTTTATATATTTTATTTTTGTATACTAAGAATATAAGTCTTATAATATTGGATTATTATGGTCTATAACATTTTTGTCGTTAACAGTAAGTAGTTAGCTGTAAAAACTATTCAAATAATATGTCCATTTGTTAAAAGCATATTTATGATCAGACAAAATTCTTGTTCAAAAAATATTTTTGTAAACAAATCAATAAATCTCTACAAAAAAACAATTACACATAAACTGAGTTTAAACTACCTTTTAGTTAGCATTTGTTGTTAACAAAAATCAATTGTTATTTCCATTTAAAAGGATTAAGCGCTCAGAATATAAGTGACACCCACTTTGTTGAGGGGACAAATAAATAAGCAAGCATGTGAAAACATCTGCACTTATATAATGACCATTTCTTTGAGACTACCGACCCTTTCATATGAAATCATTACTAATGTTTTGTTCATATTCTTTGAAATTATATAATCAGTTAACACTTCTCTATTCCTAGATCTCTCTCTCTCTCTCTCTCTCTCTCTCTCTGTCTGTCTGTCTGTCTGTCTGTCTCTCTCTCTCTGTCTGTCTGT